ACACACACACACACACACACATACATACATACATACATACATACATACATACATACATACATACATACATACATACTGTATATAGAGGAAGAAACCTATCATCTAAACCAGAGCATTGCAAAGATAAGTCTGGTTTGCCCATATGAGTATGGAAACTCATTCTTGAATCATTTCCTCACCCTGAAAAGCAACTGTGGGTTGATTTGATGGCTAATACTTAGCACCATTACACAGATCTATGTGATGAGCTGCAGTAATCTCTACTCTAGGAGGATTACACTTAAAATGCAAAAGATCATTATGTGTCAACCAGCTATGTTGCTACCTAGCAATACTTAACAGGGCAGTTCACACTGTGTCTGATGTTGTTATGTGCCATCAAGTTATGTCCAGTTTATGGCAACTTGATGATTTACTGATCTCCAAGCAGTACTGTTGTCACCAGCACTGTGCAGTTCTTGCACCTCAGGGCTGTGGCTCCCTTTATTGTGTCACTCCTTCTGTTATTTGGTCTACTTCTTTTCTTATTGCCTTTAACTTTTCCCAACATTATTTTCTCTTTCAGTAAGTCTTATCTTCTCATGATGTGCCCAAGATACAAAATCACCAGTTTAGTCAATGTTTCCTTCTTGGGAGAGTTTGGACTTGATTTGATTTGATCTATTGATCTTTTGTGGGTGATATGATGGTTTCAGGTTTCACCTTGAAATGCTGCTGGAATTTCATTCCCCGATTCTGAAAATATAAAATCCAACTATCAACACAGAACTCTTTTCTCCCTTTCCTGGTCCTAATACCGATTTTGTATTATTTTTTCAGCACAATAAACTGTGTTTTTTTGCATTCCTTAGCAAGTAGGTACACAGAGGATTCAACTACACATTCTGAACTCATGCATGTTGAATCCAAAAGCAGACCAATTAATTCCTTCTAGTTTAGTGTGCTTAGGATTGCTGCCTCAAACGGAAATGTTTGATTGGTGAGACTCAAAACCATTTGTTCCCCTTGCAATCTATGGTAAAAAATTTTTTTTCAGAACAGCAGCTTTTATAACAAAAATTATAACAGGAATTAGAGAGTGTCCTTGGAATTCAAACAATACATTCTATGGGCATGCCACCATGTTTGTGGCAGCCATTTGCACTGAACAAAAGGTGAATTTTTTATAATATATTTCTCAGGGTAACAAAAAGAATATTAGGTATTCTGGAGCATGATCTCTTGGCACAACTAGCAGCAGACGTAGGTGAGCAGTCATAAACCATTCTCACAGCATGGGAAGTAAATAAATAGTGAGAAAGACGATATCAGGGAGACTGTGCAGTAAGCATAGCAACAGGATGTTGAAACACTGTGTCTGTGTAATCAAAAGATCTCATCAGCCCCCTCTTAAGCAAATCCGTGCCTAAGATTGCCTGCCTGTTCCTAGTGCATTTCAGGATAAGCAGTGTCCTCTAGCGTTGTATTAACATAAGAACACCAGGATTCCACCCCGCATCCCCATTATTTTAGCATTGCTAGTGAATTCCTAGCTCCATTAAGGCAGTGGCTGGTGAAATATATTATTTTATTTTTCTTTATTTAAAATATGTTTTACCTTGCCTTTCTCCTTAAAAAGCACCAGTGGCTTACATTATTAAAAGACAATTTAAAAAAAAAAAAATAAGTATGCAAGTATATAAATAATTTTTAAAAATCAAACAAATAACACACTGAAGCAGCAAACAAAATGAACACCAAAACCAGTTGGCACAGCACTCTATGAACCCTCCCCTCAGATAGCCAATCACTTTAAAAATAAACTAAAATGAACTACAATTCCTAATCTACACCATCTTAAATTACTAGTGGCCATAATGCTAGCTGTATATTCAGAGTTGCTATAGTCCAAAAAGGTAACTTCTCTATCTCTGTATTAGACAAAAATGTCAAGGGTTTCCTCTTTCAAAAGGCCGAGAGAGAGATTAATCAGTTCCGGAATACTGGAGACAAGCAACTGCCTATACAGTTTAATCAAGGCTAAGAAGATAGATTTCTTAACACAAGGAATACTGTACAGTAAATGATGTCAACCAAAAACATCTTAAAATTCCTTCTCACTTATGAAGAGAGACAAAGTTAACTGAACTGACCTTTAATTTTTTTTATTAGTATTCCTTTTTCTTATAGGAAAACATCCCCTCAAAACTGATCCGCTAAATCATATCTGCTAAATCATATCCATGTGCCTAAACTATATAAAGTCACCAACAACTTCTAGGTGTCGATGTCAAGATATAACTCAGTTATACAGGTATGAGATGCCACCAGTGTAACAATTTTAATCCATGTTTTCTTACTTTGATAGACACAGATTTTGAAGGGTCTTCTTTCCATAATAACTTCCAGTCTCTTGTCTCATTTATGACTACCAAATATTTTTCCCAGGATTTACTGTTTCCTTCTGTGCCACTATATTGTGTCTTACTGATAATATTTAGATTATAATGTATAAGGTAGGTTTTGTATTTTGAAGCCCCTATCAGTATCTGTGGATTTTAAAGAGGCTCAACCTCTCATACTTTAACCTACAAGTTAGTGATAATGTAAATTACCTAGTGTGTCAGCAGCCAATTACTCTGAACTGGATGGAGTTATTTACATATGGTTTTGTTATGTAATTTGGATTGTAAATAGATCTTGTGGGTGGTACAAACCTGTTGCCTCCCAGTTTTTAAAGCAAGCAAAAATTTCCTTATCCTAAAAAAGGAGAGGAGCAAAAAAAAAAAAAATTAACAAGGAAGTAGATGTGTGACTACTATGTACTTGTATCTGCTGTGATCTACAGCTTTTCCAATTTAGTTTCCACAATGAAATTGCTGTAGCTGTCTAGATGACAAACAATTTGGAGAAGTCAGCAGAAGCAGAGAGCTGTGTTTGCTCCAACATCAGAAGCTGGCTTTGACAAGAGGCTAATTGGCAGTTTGACAAGGTGCTAGTAGGCATTTTCCGCATCTGTTTTAAAGTTTACTTTTCCTAAATGATCTAGTGGCACTCTGTTTCAGTCCTGACTTGAAAGCCAAGAAAAGAAAAAGAATCACTGTTTGGAGACAAGGGGTACCCAGTTTAGGGGAACTGATACCCTTATAAGTGCCCTTTTGCTGTCAGAGCAGGTGCACAGTGGAGAAAAGTAATGGCAGCCAATCCGAGCAAATTTAAATCACCTCTGCCAACTGACAAAAAAGAGAGAAGATCAATCTGAGCAAATTTAAATCACCTCTGCCAACTGACAAAAAAGAGAGAAGAGAGATGATTCTCTACTGTAAAGAGATAATTCCACATTGGGCTTCCTCACATTAAGCTTTATTTCTTGTAGTTGCTGGGTCTTAACTTGAATTCCTCTGTGTCTAATCCAACACAAATAGTGGGGTAAATGACCAATGTAGTCACACTGTAAAAGCCAGAGATTCTCTGTGGCTTCTTTATTAGGCCAGGCCAGCTTTGCTTCCTTCTCTGTCAGATTTAGTTTAATTGAGCCTGGTCCTGCAGACAGAACCGATTCCTGATCAAGCACATTTTATTTTAGTTACAAGCCACTCTTCAGTGGTGGGCTCCGAAGGCAGTTTTTATTTAAAATCAAATCAAATCAAAAATCAAATACAGTAACAAAAAATTGTACATAAAACATCAAAAAGCAAGTTCATCCCTTGCTTTGGCTGCTTCTGTCCTAGGAAACTCTCAAGTTCTTCCGCCCCCAAATTGCCAGCCTTTACTTTCTGTGTCCAGTCATTACTGATATAATTTTCCATCATTCTCTGGATGCTCTGGTTTGACTAGCGAAAAGGGCAGAGAGCCCTTCCCTCTTAACTTTTCTGAGGAGAAGCACAGCCAAAAGGCCCGGCGCTTCAGGACTAAAAGGAAAATACTATACTGAACAGAGCTGTAGAGAAAAGGGACGCTGTCTCTTTAAACAACCGCCGCCTCCGCCACCCGCCGAGGAGTCCCAAAGCAGAATCTGTCTGGGGGGGAGGGGCTAGACGAGGTCCATTGGGCCCAGAAAGGGCTGCTGTTTATGTCACCCCCTCATGGCTCCGCCCATTCTTCTGAGGAGGGCGGGAGAGGAGCGCACGAAACCAGCTTGGCGCCTGCGCAGAACTTGTCTCCTATTTTTGTCCGTCTGGCCAGCCTCCCCTGCGTTTTCAGCACCCGCTGCTTGCCGCCGTCCGCGAACCGTTCCGGGCCGCGGCGAGACGCCCCCAAACCCAGGACACCGAAGCCGTTCGGCGACGGGGGAAGAAGAGGACGGGACGGAGCGGCTGAAAAGCCACGGGCTTGCCACGGGGAAGGGCAACTCGGCCTGCTCCATGGGCTCCTGAGGGCCTCTCGCTTTCTGCCCCGGCCCCCCGAGGGACGGAAGGGTCCCAGCCTCAGGAAGGCAGAAAGGGGGGGGGGACGGGAGGCGCGGCGGCGGCGAGGAGGACCGTCCGTCCCGGGGCTGATGCGTGCTGTGCCGCGTGGCGAGCTTTGCGGTGAGGAGCGAAGTGGGAGATGGAGGTGGTGGGGATCCGGGGACGGGAAAGAAGGAACCGTGGGTGCCTCTCCGGTCATCGGCATGCCGTGACACGGTGGGAAGGCAGCTTGAAGGAGTGCCACGGGGTGGTTCTGAGGCTGAATCTCTCTCTCTGTGTGTGTGAGAGAGAGATGCTGAGGGGTTAATGGTGGCCCTTAACACGAAAGGGATGTGGAAAGTTAATAGCAGCTGGCCCTGCCTGACTGGGTTTCATGGCACCGCCAGATGGGCAGAGAGGTGACTTTGGGGCACCCTCAGGTGCTCAGTGGCTGTGCACAACAGCTGGAGACACAGCTGTTCTGGCTGCTGGTTGGCATCATGTGGATGCATGTGGGCGATGGATCAGCTAGGCTGGCCCTCCCTTGTGGCTCTTTGGGGACAGTTGTGGCACAGAGTGTGACAGTAGAATGTATTTTATGTACTGTATCTGCTTCGGCAGTTCAGTGGGACTAACTTCTTTATTTGGGCACATTCACAGCAGTGTGACCACATCATGATATTTCTTGGTGTTATGCTGCTGTGACATGATGTTCAATGAGCTTGTCACAGACAGGCATTCTGGTGCAGACGGGTTGTGATAGGAGTAGATAAGTACATCCGTTTGCGGGAGACGTGGCATGTTTGGTGCCACATGACTCACCCACTGATTATGTCAAAAAGATACTGCCAAGTACTGAATGTTCAAAGGGGAGCACATGCCATGGATTGTGGCCAGACCATACATGATACAAAATACGGTAAGAAGCATGGTGAATAGCATAAGATGCTGCTGAAGAGTAGGAAAAATAGTATAGACTCGAACTTTGTTTGGATGTCATATAGGATTGCTTGTGTGTCACGGCAGGGGCCTTGTCTGGTTTTGGTGCCAGAGGTGGCAATAAATAGAACAGTATGAGCTTTGTAACTTTAAGAGAGGTAGTGTGATGTGGATAGTACCTGTTGAATAGCACTTCAGCTCCCATGCAGCATATACTGATAATAGTAACTAAAAGTGCAATGAGTTGACAAGAGAGCTTTGAAACCCTGAGCCTTTTGCTGTTGAGACTGTTAAAATACTGATTATGGGACACTTCCATTTGCCCTTTTTTCAATGTGTGTTTAAAGTGAGATCACTTTTCTGTGTGGGTTCCAACCATTTCTTACTGCTAGAAGGTATGTGCATATAACAGTAGAGTGCATTCCTTTTTGAGATTGACGTGGGGCTTGAGGATAATGCAGACATATTATATGATTCTGTTTTCTGTGATTTGTAATGTAGAAGTGACACACAGAAAGTTATTTGTTCTCTGCTTTGTATTTCTGTGAAAATCTGGCTATTGAATAAAGTAGTCTCATATGTATGTTTTCTTGTCAAGATTGAGAAAGTATTCCAGAAATAATATAAATTGACAGTTTGTGCTTTCTGTAAGATTGTGGGTTTTTTCATGAGAGGACAGAAGTAATTATTCCAAACTGTAGAAAGTGTTAGTTACAATCCCATCATCAGGTAGGTACAATGGGGTATTTTGAAGTTCTTTAGCAATAAAACCATACCTTAATTGATGTGATTATATAGCTGTCTAATATACTAGATACATTAAGGAAAAGATACACAGCATGTTTAATAAATGTTTTTGTACCCTTTTGATTGGTCTAATTAATATGTTTATTGCGGTACTAAAGTGACGAACCTTGTGGTCCCTTAAAGACTTAAGTTTCATTTGGCATCATCTTTTATCCGCTCCAGCACATTTTTTAAAATGTAGGGAAGCTTATGTCAAATAAAGCTTGCTAGTCTTTATCTTTGTTGTTTTTGTTGCAAAAAAGAAAAGACTAACACAGTATCTGACTGGAAATTTATGTAATATACATAGTATGCTTGTAGCTTCAATGGAAGTTGGGTGTGTTGAAGATACTGTATATTATGTTTATAAGATGTGCTGCTCACTTAGCTTCATTGAGCATTTTCAGTTCTCTGAATGTTCTGTATTAAATTAAAAATAAAATGAAATTGTGTGGAAATTCAATTGAAATGAATATATTGCAGATTTCCTGTGCATTATTTAGCTATAAATTGCTTATTATATAACTCTGAGGGGCAAACCTTAATCATTGGTCTGTGTTGGATGGGGTTACAGTTCCTCTGAAAACACAGGTGCACACCTTGGGTGTGGTCATGGATTTGTCTCTGAGTCTGGATGTCCAGTTTTGGACAATGGCCAGGAGTGCCTTTGCATATGTAAAACTAGTGTACCAGCTGTAACTGTTCCTGGAGAGGTCTGATCTGACCATGGTGACACATGCCTTTGTTACATTCCAGCTGGATTACTGTAACACACTTTATGTAGGTCTGCCTTTGGAAGGTGTTTGGAAACTTCAGCGGATTCAAAACACTGCAGCCAGATTGTTAATTGGGTCTGGTTACAAGGATCACATAACTCCCATCTTACAGCAGCGCCACTGGCTGCTGACTGTGTTTCCTAGTACATATCAAATGCTGATTTTAACCTCTAAAGCCCAAAATGGCTTGGGTCCAAGCTGTCTCCCTTTATGAGCCTGCCCAGGTGTTAAGATCATCAGTCCCACCACTCTCACAGGTGCGTTTGGTGTGGGGACATGGGAAAGGGCCTTTTCCCTTGCTGCCCCCAGATTCTGGAACGCCCACTGAAGGCCATCAAGCAGACAAATACCTTTCTATTCAGGCAGGTCCTTACTGAGTGGCTGTCTAAGAGAGGTTTTAAAATAGGATGGTTTGTATTTTTGTTGCTTTTAAATCTGTTTTAGTAATGCTTTTAACTAACATTTTAATACAATGTTTATTTAATTCTTTTTAAATATTTTAACATTTTGAATAATTTAATATTGTGTTTTTAATGATGTACGTCACCTTTTTAAGGAGAAAGTCAGAGTGAAAATATTTTAAATAAATAAATTGGTCACAATAACTCCTTAGGATGCTGCTGCAGTATACACAAGATGTTGAAGAAGTGAGTTAGAGAACAATTATGAATGGTCACATAGAGCCTGGTACTTAAAGAATAGAATTCGATTCTCCCCCCCCCCATGGATTTCATTTCCACCTTTTATATTTTTCCTTGCCTGTCAATCTCAAAACTACATTGTCTTTCCAGCACTTCTTGAGCTGTACTTGATGAATGAAGGTCAGATTCCTGCCAACACAATTAATCTTGCCAAAGCCCCTTGGTTATCTTTTTAAAAATTGCTTTATAACTAGGCATAGTAGTAAAGTGGAATAAATAAAGATTTTAGTGAAAATAGCTCTTTAAATATGATGAATCTTGAAAGTAATAATCTAGAAAATCATTTGTACTATGAGTTATATGTTGGAATGGGGGTTAGGTCTCTCCAGAGGCAACATGGGCTATAACCATATGATCACTGGATCAAAAATAGTTTGTTTAATATGTCATATCAGAATGCCAGTATCTATTGTGACATGGTTGAAATGGAAGTATTGTCTGTTTGTGGATCTCCTTTTCTAGAGGCTGTACACTGAGGAGTAAGCTTTGTTTTTCAGAGCAAACACTGGCTGAGAAAGCAACAGATCAGCTTGTGTCCAGGGAGTAGATAACATGAACACTTGAGCATTAATGTTGTGTGCTGATCGTTTTAATAACTCCGCAGGGATATAATTTACAGGAAGCAAAAGGAAGAGAGAATTAACTAGAGCACTTCATCAGCTGTACAGAACGCTCCTTAAAGCTATACAGCAATTGCTAATTCCAGTTATGATCTGTTTTTTAGTCTTTGCTAGCACCTTTTATTGAGCAGTTGATAAGTGACTGTAGTTTTAATGCAAACTATAGCACATGACATGGAGAAAGAGCACAGGCTGCAGCACTCTCCATTATGTCAAACACCCCCAGCAACTGTGCCTCACAGTGGCTCCATATGTTCTGTTTCTTGAAAAGGAGTTGTTTCCATGGCTTCTGCAGGTTTTTTTATCTGTCTTATCTATTGAAAGTTCCCATTGGTCAAAACTGGGACTAATTATGTGACCACCCGTCCACATAGCTTGAGTGGATAAGCTTTCAGGAAACAATGTAGTCTGTTTGATTGCCACTTTATCTTGTGCAGTTTTTTTGGGCTGTTTTCTATTAAATATAACTGTAGATATCATAGGGATATCTGTGATTTTCACCTATTGTTTGTATCTAAGTCAGGTGTTGTGGAAACCTCACTATTGTTCAGTCCAAAGCTTTAAACAGTAAGATGATAGGTTGAACTGCTATGTCTGTGAAAGAATTAAAGCCCTGATGATATCAGCAGCTTGGCATATTTTTTCTGTGTGTATAAATAAACATGCAGAGTGCTATTATTTGTTTTATTAATAACAATAGCATATAATATCAAGAACAAGAAGTTTTCAACTATATACTTGGGATTTTAAGAAGTAAAAACAATAGTCCTAGATCATTGTCCTTCAATTTGAAAACTGGCAAAGCACAACCACGTGGGAAAGTAAAGGTTTGGGTACACAAGGGCTGGACATGAAATTCTTTCAATTGCAAATATTTTGAATTTGGTCTTCTCCAGATGGACAAAAGTATGTGGATCAGCACTGTTCTTGCTAGGGTTTTTTCTTGCTGATCAGATGATGCAAGGTAAAATTAGCAGAGGTTTGTGCCCTTCCCCATATTCTATGATTTTAAAAATCTTCTTGAGAGTTTTTATTTTGTTCTGGGCTTGATTGTGGAGATTTGTGCTGAATCATTTCCTATGAAGAGTGCATTCCAGAGTCATAGGTCCCTACTTAAAGCCATAAGTACCTTGTTAAGAGATGCATGCACACAAACCCCCCAGAAGCAAAAGCTGCAGTGAGGATGTAGATTTGTAATGATTTAGTAGGGTTTCTTTTTCCAGACCATGGGTTTTCAAGGGCATAGGTAAAGGTTCCCCTTGACATTTAGTTTTGTCGTGTCCGACTCCAGGGCATGGTGCTCACCCCTGTCTCCAAGC